CAAATGCACTCTTAGTTTCTGGGGCCTGATCACTCAATAGATAGGGTTACAATTACACGAAAGGATAAGCAATGCAATCGTATATCTCATTGATCAATTAAAATAGTATGAGATACCTGAATAAGCCTCTATGACATTCAACAACACAAGAATTTAGAAGTTTACAAAAGTTTTACATTTACAATAAATAATGCATTAGTTTTTCATCCAAGATTGTAGCGAAGAAATTTTTGAGTGAATGCTGGAGTTGTGGGATGTCGTATTTGAACATGCTGACTTGATCCTCTCCCTCAGAAATCATTGTGATTGATATGCTAAGGGATGCAGCTTATTCAACACTTTTTTAGTAGGCATTGCTCCAGAGCCAGGAAGAATGTTCAGTCTTTAATGGAACCTATTTCATGTTACTGCTGTCTATGAGACGAACGCATTTGACCGATTCTTAACCTTGGGTCTCCGTTGGACTGTGGCCTAAGGAATACAGACTTCACCCAAATGCAGAAGTGCAGATTCGTGCCATTTTTTATGGTCACTTAAACATTAGCATTTTAACTATCAATTTTTAAAGATCAGTATTTTTGGTAGAAGTATTTTATGAAACTATCCTTAATTTTGCATATGAACATATTAAACCTATGTCACCTAAGAGAATTTAAGAACGGATAATTTAGTTTTCTCATAATAAGCTGAATAGGCCTCATGATGACGGTGAAATTCAAATAAATTTGCCCACAAAAAGGTATCAAATCCCTATTTCACCCACATCCAAAACGTGTTTCAATATCGGGTCGTGAGTATCCCGGTGACTTTGCGACTTCCTTATGCAGTCATTAATGCCAACTAGCCATATAGCAGTTTTCATTATTAAAGGAAAATAGGTCTCATCTATATCATATTCATAGTGGTATCGTCGATAAGGCGATTGCAATCGATGAGGCAACTTATTATCGATATAAGTAATAAAAGATTTAGAATCGAGTGTCACAACCCGGTATGGAAGTCAGTTTAGGGTGCTAATGATACCTAGATGAGGTCGCAATTGCTGTCCACTTTGGATAGGAGAATCTTTCTGAAGTAAGTGTCAAGTGAAATTCATTGACATCCTGATTTCTACTCAACTAATTGTGGGAAAATGCAACTATCAGCGACATAGAGTAACAAAGTTCCCATTCAAAATTTACTGTTCAGAATTCGCTTTTCTGAATTGCTTATCTTAACTTTTCTTGATCCATCCATAAATAATAAATTCCACTGCAAATTTTGCTTAAAATGCGGCTCTGTATCAGAAGACAATTTATGGAGCCGGATGAATCACATATTGACTTTAGAGTAATAATAATGGGGCCAAATCTTCAGAATTTGTCTATAATGAGCCAGGATCTGAGTATACAGCAATAAATTGTGCCGATAAATATTCTCTTCAAATTTCTTTTCATGATACTTGCGGCAAAGGCTAATGCCTCCTTTGCACTGAATTTTTCAGGTGCCCTA